AAAGGGAATACTATGCAACAAAATTCCTCAATAACAAAACGAACCCAATATATGCGTGGAAAACAGTTAATGAGATACTAGGAAGAAGTCAGAAGCAAAATATTGTTAACGAAATTAATCTACCAGAGAAAACAGTTACATCAAATATTGAACTGGTTAATGTTTTTAATGATTATTTTACCGATGTTGGTCCTAAACTTGCTGAAAAAATTGAATACGAACACAACTGTAGCCTTCGAGATTTCATTCCTCAACATGAACCAGTTGAGAGATTTATTTTCCAACCTGTAAATGTTGCAACAGTTTATAGACTTATAACCAAATTAACTATCTCCAAAGCTACAGGTATCGACGAAATTTCAGCTAAAGTATTAAAGGCTGCAGCTCCTGCTATTGCAGAGCCTTTAACAAGGATTTTTGATATGTCTATTGCCACTGACAGATTCCCGATGGAGTGGAAAGCAGCACGAGTAACTCCAATTTTTAAAAAAGGCCAACGGACTATGTTAGACAATTATAGACCAATTTCAATTTTACCTGTGGTCTGCAAACAACCTCGTTCCCAGGCTCTTTGCTCTTGGGAAGCAAAGACCCTGGTCGGAGCTGGTCACGTGAACCCCCAGATTTGGGGGGTAAATTGAATTTGACCTCAGGGAGGGGTAGTAGAGGAGTCTGTTTGTTGCGTTTGGAAAATTGCAACTTTATGTGTTATAATTTCGGGTGATAAAAATGTAATTTGCAACAAGAGATTGTGAAAGGAACTGGTTTAAATTGTACCGATCATGACAAGACTTCCTGCTGTACTGAATGTCATCAATAATAAGTGTTGCGGTACATTTCAAGCGAGAAGCTGGATCATATTTCACTTGCAAGGAAAGCACTCCACACGCGCCTGGCTTGCGAAGTTAGCACGTATCGTCGTAGAAACATACATATCTTCTACACAGAATGATCGATCAAACGGTATTAAACTAACGATATGGTTCTTTGGTGTTCTGTCCGATATTCAAAACAAAAGATTTATTTTATAACGGGATCCTTTGATTTCCCAAACATCGCCAACATGTGTAAACAATAGTGCTATTTTGACTGTAAAAGCACAGGATTAAAACCCGTTATGGACTGGCTATAAAATTCATTTCATTTACATTGCTGAAACTCAACGATCAAGAAAGATATAAAATGTCGAAGTGTAGCTAGCTATCTATATGCACCAGACACTGGTATTGTACTTTATATAAATTATTTCATATTTTGTGTATACAGTAATTTGCAACGTGTATAATATTAGACCTTTCATTGACATTGGCCATTGAGGGCTTTATTGAAGAATAATCCAGGTTCTTTAGACTTGTATAATGGATTAATGCCGCTGTGAGTTATCAATACTTAAATCAACTTTAATCTTTATCGTATTCCGTAACCGACATTTTAGAAGTTTATAGTCTGTTTTACCAAACAATACTGGAGGCAAACAACCTATCTATCAATGGAAACTTTAAAAGGTTTGTTACAGTAAAACTCATTAATACAGGGACCGCGGAGACGGGGGGGCTGGGGGGGCTTTAGCCCCCCCACTTTTTTTGACAGCCAAAATTATTAAAATAGAAATCTAAATGAAACTTTCTAAATTAATTAAACCTCACCCTTTAGCCCCCCCACTCTCTAATACGCTCCGCGGGCCCTGTAATATAAGCGAGACTTCATGTGCATATACATTTTATGAATTATGTATATCCTGATAAAACGTAGGACACTTTATAGTTTATACCAGATGTAATAAAAAATACATTGCTAAACCTTTTCTGCTGTCATTCCTTTGCATTTAAGGGGAGAGGGTAAATGGCGATAGAATTTATAGGAGATGCTGTGCAATATTTTGGCTTCAACAAACAGGTACTCGTGCAGACAAAAAAGAAAATTCATGCCATGTAATAATCATGCAGTTGTGAATTGTCGTATGTCAGCTGTGCACTGTCCATTTCAAACAATTTTGTACGTTATATTTTGTCTTCCTGGTGTTTAATATAAACGATGATAACCTTTTAAAAAATGAGCAATATGTCTATAAACAGTTTTAGAATCAATAGAATGGACATTCAATGTGTATTTGGCTTGTGTCCAAATGTGTCACGTTTAAGACCGGCAAGGCGCTAATCCTACGACCTATAAACAGTCGCTTTTGAGACACCTGTTTAACAAAATTTATACCGTGTCCATATTAGAACAATTCATTGGTATATCATAAGCATATTATAAAAATCAGAGCCAGAACAGAAACGTAAGCGTGAAATGAAACTACGCCCGAACCGGCGAACCCCGAGAAAATAAAAATATTTCAAAGCGTACAGTCATACGTTCTCGTTGCTTGATTTCCTGAATTTTCTGTTGCTATAAGAATCTGCATTTTAGCATGTTTGTATAATTTAAAAGCAAACAGAAACCAATTTAGCAAGTAGTTTGAGGTATATATGATTCTCGAAGATGAATTACATGATTGTACAGAACGGCCACTCCTTGCAATCGAAGTGCGAAGTCCGGTAGTGGAAACATGTAATATGAGACTTTTCCATCCCCCTCTTGGGCTATCAATTTTCTATGGGTCACGTGACCAGCTCCGACCAGGGTCTTTGCTTCCCAAGAGCAAAGAGCCTGGGAACGAGGTTGGTCTGCAAACTGATGGAAAGGATTCTGTACGACCAAATGTATGATTATTTAAAGAAACAGAATATTCTTTCAGAACATCAGTTTGGTTTTAGACAATTTCATTCCACAACTACCACACTTTTAGATTGTACTAATGAATGGTATATTAACATGGACCGTGGCCTATACAACACAGTTGTTCTTCTCGATTTAAAGAAAGCATTCGATACTGTCAACCATGAGATTCTTTTACGTAAGTTCGAACGGTATGGCTTTGGTAATAAAGCCCTAGATTTACTAAGTAATTACTTAACAAATCGAACACAAAGATGTCAGCTAAATGGAATGCTTTCAGATCAGAGAGGAATAACTTGCGGCATCCCTCAGGGAAGTATACTTGGCCCTCTTCTGTTTATTATCTATATAAATGATTTGCCAAATTGTCTCAAACATACAACACCAAGGATGTTTGCAGACGATACCAGCTTTACAGCTGTGGGCAAAACGTTAAATGAAGCAGAAGAGATAGCGAATAAGGATTTGAAAAATATTAAAGTGTGGTTGTCTTCAGACAAACTTAGCTTAAATATTGCGAAAACGGAATATATTTTGATTGGATCACGTTCTAAGATTAATAGCATGGATGTCCAACCCACAGTTAAGATCGACACATGTCCAATCAAAAGAGTAAAAAGCGCAAAAGTACTAGGAGTTGAAATCGATGAGAACCTAAACTGGGAAAAACATATTGAATATATCGCTAGTAAAGTATCTTCGGGGATTGGTGCGTTAAAAAAACTTAAAGAATTTGTAGACCGAGATACATTAGTGCTGGTGTATAATGCATTGATCCAGCCGCATTTTGATTAAAGGCCTCGGCGAACGTCTTCAAAAATTGCAAAATCGAGCGGCTAGAGTAATTATGAATTTTAAAAATGAGCATGGACAGTCTATCTTAGCTCGTACTGCTCTTGGTTGGACATCCCTTGAAGAACGTAGAGCATTAATGAAGGCCAAACTCATGTACAAAACAGTAAATCAATTAGGTCCACAAAGACTGTGTAACATTTTCCAATCTTCCAACACTGTAAATAGTTCTAATTTAAGAGGTTCTTCAACTGGGCTTTTTATTCCAAGGCCCAGGACAGAACTTTTTTAAAAAAGTTTCAGTTACAGTGGGGCTAAATTATGGAATAGAATACCAGAAAATATTCGAAATTCGATATCGTACAACTCGTTTTGTAAAAACCTTTTCTCCTCGCCCTCGGCCTTATTAAATTAAGTAGTTTAGTTAAATGAATATTTAATAGATTTATATAATAATAGTTTGTATGTATTAATAAATTAGTTTTTAAATTGTAACAATTAGCCACCACACCTCTCATGGAAATCAGCTTAGTGTTGAATGGGACTAGTGTGCTTAAATAAAGTTTATCTATCTATCTATCTATCTATCTATCTATCTATCTATCTATCTATCTATCTATCTATCTATCTATCTATCTATCTATCTATCTATCTATCTATCTAGGTTTTGGTAGGTAAAGCTTTTGATGATTATTTCGTAGTTGGTAGGTTTGGTTAACGGAGACATGAAACATCTGTGTTAAGTATTCTGGAGCCATACCCCTGAGTGCTTTAAATGTCATCACAAATTCTCACTTTTTTAGTATTGATTGTATTTTTGTCCATTTCAGCATTTGAAAAGTTTCAGAAGATCATTCTTCTAAGCCCGAACTGGTAATGACCCGTGCTGCACGCTTTTGCAATTTGAGCATTTTTTCGGCGTGCATTTTATTACCATCATACCATATAGTTGAACAGTAGTTGAAATAGGGGAGTACAAATGACTTGGACATCATCTGTAGTGTTGATAGTAATAATAACGCAATGAAAGACACTTGCCCTGAATGAATGCAAAATTAAATATGGCGGATGGTCATGATTTTGATGGCTGCGACTAATTTTATATAAAATCGCACTTAATCACCTTAAAATGCCACCAAAATCGAAACGTAACCAAAATAACCAATCCAGTCAACATATAGATTCATCAAATGTTGAAATATCATCACAAGATGAACAAGAAAATGGAAAAGATTGTCCATTATCAGAAAGTTCGTTTAAACGAATTTTAGATGATCGCTTCAAATTACAAGGTTCTGAACTCAAGGACCTAGTAGTCAAATACCACAAAATAACTCAAGATGAACTCAAAGAAATAAAAACCAGCCAAGAATTTATTAATGCTAAGTTTGAACAACTGTCGAAAACGATCGAAGACCTACAATGCCAAAACGAATTCCTGAAACAAGAAAATTCACAATTAAAGGCAAATGCAACCGAGATGTCCAATAGAATAATACAATTAGAGGAAGATCAAGAAGCTCAAAATCTCTATTCGCGTAGAGATTGTTTGGAATTGCATGGAATTCCTATTCAATCTGGCGAAGACACTGACAAATTAGTTCAAAAGGTTGGCGAACTGGTTGGTACCAAAATAAAAAACGAAGATATCTCGATCAGCCATAGATTACCTACAAGAGGAGACCGAACACCTATTATAATTGCTAAATTTACAAGAAGAAGTGTGCGGGATGGTTTACACAAGGCACGAAGAAATTTAACCAGATTTAATGCCACTGACCTTGGATTTTCCCAACAGAACAATAAACTTTACATAAATGAAAGTCTAACAACAAAGGCTAAAGAAATATTCAGAAAAACAAAGGAATTCCAGAAGGAACAAAAGTTTCAGTTTGTATGGACAAAGAATGGGAAAACGTATATGAAACAGGATAATGATGTTCATTCAAAAGTAGTTTCGTTCTCTACTTTGTCTGAATTTGTACGTTTCAAAGACCAATTCTTCACAGCAAGATAAGTTTAATCTGTATAATCTTACACTAATCCTATTATTTTTGCATACAACTTAATAATGTATCCTAATCCGAATATTGCTAATAGCTATCTAAACAAATCTATTAATTCTGATTATCAAGACCCTGATAATATTATTCCTTCATTTTCGTCAAATTACTATAGTATAGAAGAATGTAAAAACTTATTTAATACTCCCCCTAACTTACATTCATATTCACCAACATATAATAATAATCATGATTTATTTTCAATTTTTCATTGTAATGTAAGAAGCCTCCAAAAGCAATTTAGTAAACTTAATGATATTCTGATTTCATTGGAAAACCAAATCTCTATAATTGGAATAAGTGAAACCAGACTAAATGAAAACTCATCTTCCAATATTGATTTGATTAATTACAGTTTTTTAAGACATGATTCTCCCACACAAGCAGGAGGTGTGGGTCTGTATATTCACAATAGCTTAGAATTTCACTTAAGACAAGATATTAAGTTACTGGTTGATGGTTGTGAGAATTTATGGGTTGAAATTCATACACCTAAAAATGAGAAAAATATTATTATAGGCATAATTTATAGACACCCACACTCTAATATTTCTGCATTTAAAGATGCTTTATCAGATAAATTGGAGCATAGTTTGAATGAAAATAAGCAATTAATCATTATTGGGGATATAAATATTGATCTCGTAAAATGTGAAACACACCAACTTACTTCTGATTACCTTGATATGATATACTCTAACTCTTGTTTTCCTGTTATTACACAGCCTACTAGAGTCACAAACTACACTGAAACTCTAATTGACCATATTTATACCAATGTTTTAAACAAACCTATTACATCCGGAATCTGCCTGACTGAAATTTCCGATCATTTTCCTGTTTTTCTAATCTTGCATAAAATAAAATCGGCAACAAAACGGAATATGAAGAAAAGAAACTTCAAAAACTTCAATAATGATATTTTTTTACAAGACCTAGAAACATCTATCAGTGACACTAACCATAATAGAAATGTTAACAATTCATTTTCCAATTTCTTTTCCATATTTACATCAACAGTAAATAAACATGCACCTATACAAAATGTCTCAAGGAAAGAATTTAAACTTTCTACGAAACCTTGGATTACTTCTGCGATATTAAAGTCAATAAAAAGAAAACAATATCTTTATTATCATCATTTTATTAAAGGCAATGAAGATCAAAAAAGGTACTATAAATCATACTCTAATACTTTAACTCATTTGAAAGAATTGAGTAAAAAGTTATATTTTAAAAATAAAATAACAAAAATTCAAGGTAATATAAAAGAAACATGGAAAATTATTAACCAAATAGTTAAAATAAGGTCTAAAGGTTCTATTACTCCAGACAAGATAAATAATAATGGCGTTGAATTTGATCAACCGCAGGATATTGCCAATCAATTCAACATCTTCTTCAGAGATATTGGTCCTCAACTTGCAGAAAAAATATCTCCTTCCAATAAAGACTTTCGTGATTATCTTACTCCTTTGAAATCTAACAAAAGTTTCTTTCTTACACCTACAACTCCTAATGAAGTGGCTTCTATGATAAATGAGCTCGATGCCTCAAAGGCTTTGGGTCCTTATGGAATTCCTATTAGTTTACTGAAACTTGCAAAACCAGTTATTGCAACAGAACTGAGTGAATTATATAATTTTTCATTTACTTCTGGTATATTTCCTGAAGAACTCAAGCTCTCGCGAGTAATCCCTCTTTATAAAAATGAATCGATTCACTTGTTATCAAATTACAGACCTATTTCTTTACTTTCACCATTCTCAAAAATGTTAGAAAAATTAATGTGCAAACGACTATTATCATATTTGAATAAAAAGGACATTATATACAAATACCAATTTGGATTTCGGAAAAATCATTCAACAACGTTGGCATTAATTGAAATTATTGACAATATTCTTAATGCCATGGATAAGAGGCTTTATACTTGTGGAATATTTATTGATTTTTCAAAGGCATTTGATACTATCAACCACACGATTCTCCTTTCCAAGTTGGAGCACTATGGTATTCGTGGCGTTGCGTTACATTGGTTTAGAACCTATCTAACGGATCGCTCACAATTTGTAGACCTTAATGGAACACTCTCAAACACTATTAAAACAAACTGTGGAGTTCCACAGGGTTCAAATTTAGGCCCACTATTATTTCTTATTTATGTTAATGACATCTCGAATTGCAGCAATATTTTAAAATTGCGGTTGTTCGCAGACGACACTAATGCTTTTTTGGAAAATAGTAATATACTAACTTTAACCACAATAGTTAATGTTGAATTAGAAAAACTTACCAATTGGATTAAAGCAAATAAATTATCGCTAAATATAAAAAAATCGAAATTTATGATATTTTCATCCGTTAGGAAACAATTTCACTATATTCCAAATATCAAGTTAGATGGCTCTTCACTAGAGCAGTCAGAATTTTTTAAATATCTGGGTGTCCTTCTTGACAGAAACTTGAGTTGGAAATTTCATATAAACGTTATATGTAAGAAACTTTCCAAGAATATTGGCATGATTTCAAAATTACGTCACTATGTTGATCTTGACACACTAAAAAATGTTTATTACTCCCTAATATATCCTTACCTTTATAATGGGGCAATTATCTGGGGAAATACGTACCAGTCTCGTCTTAATCAGTTAAACATTTTAAACAACAAAGCTGTCAGGATCATGACTTTTTCCGAACCTCGATCCCATGCTCCACCTATCTACAAATTACTAGGTATTCTTCAAGTAAAAGACATTGTTTACACCCAAAAATGTACTTTTATGTACGATTACTTTAATAATAGGTTACCAGTAGCATTTTCTAATTATTTTACACACTCGTCAGAAATACATCAACAT